AGTTTCAAAGTAATAAGTACTCAATAATTGCATGTGGTCTTGGAAGTTGCTGAATAAAATTGAGTCTCTTCATTAGTACATTCCATAGCTATATGTTTATAAATTTTCATATTGTTTTGAAAAAACCGAAACTGACATTTTAGCTTTTACAGAATTACAGAAGTATCACAGGGATGACCCTACCACAATGTATTCCTATCATCTGTTACTATTTTGACACTCAGCTAAATGGTAGGTCAGTCACATTTGAGAGTTTCATCATCACATGAATTTGAATGATAATTATGTAACAATTTGCAAACTAAGATATACAGTGTTTATGCATCTGTACCTCATCTCAGCAGGTTATGTCATTTTTCAATGTTTAGAGTCAGGATCTCTTCAATACATAGTTTATGATTTTTTTGTTATTATTGTGAGACATGGTCTCCCTGTGTCCTCCAAGATGGAATACAGTGGTGCAATCTCTGCTTACCGTAGCCTCTGCCTCCTAGATTCCAGTGATTCTCATGCCTCAGCCCTCGAGTAGCTGGGACCACAGGCACCTGCCACCACACCTGTCTCTAAGTTTTGTATTTTTAGTAGAGAAGGGGTTTCACCATGTTGCCCAGGCTGGTCTTGAACTCCTGGCCTGTCTCTGCCTCCCAAAATACTGGGATTACAGGCATGAGCCTCCACACCCAGCCCATAGTTTGTGATTTCATTTATGAAGAAACCAATAAAGCAAAGAATAACAGTTTAGATTTCTTCCATCTAAATTGCACCAGAGAACAGAAGTTAATTCTAAACTGTGAAAAGAGATGACAACACCTTGAAAAATGAAAGAATTCTCCCCCTCCCCCAGCAGACAGTACAAGATAGAACCCTTAACCCTTGGTCCTGGCCCTCAGAAGTCTATCCCATTTTGCTTTATTTAATTAATCAATGTCTTTATTTTGAAATGGAGTTTTGATATTCTTGTCCAGGCTAGAGTGCAGTGGTGCAGTCTCGGCTCACTACAACCTCCACATCCTGGGTTCAAGTGATTCTCTTGCCTCAGCATCCTCAGTAGCTGGAATTACAGTCATGTGCCACCACACTCAGCTAATTTTTGTATTTTTAGTATAGACAGGGTTTCGGGTTTTACCGTGTTGGTCAGGCTGGTCTTAAACTCCCGACCTCAGGTGATTCACTTGCCTCGGCCTCCCAAAGTGCTGGGATTACAGGCATAAGCCACCATGCCCGGCCTCATTTTGCTGTATTTTACAAGGTGTGAGTCTGACCAGTAGGCAATGGGAGGTCTGTCCCATGGCAGGTTCGAAGGAAACAATTGAAGTTGAATTTGCAATTGGGTTAGTATTGTCCTATACCTGAGGAAGTGGTCTAAAATCTTGAGGATTTTGGTGGGTTATAGTTTTGTCTAGAATCAGGCTGGCCTTGGGATACATAAAAAAATTGATTTTGCTCAAGAACATGGCTTTAGACTTGATATAAAGATTTTCTACAGAAAGAGAAAACACAATTTGGGATCCAAGAGGTCTCTGCAAAATAGGCTTCCAACTCTTATCTACAAGAATGCTCCAAAACCCTGATGCTGAAAATATAGATGACTGTGAAACAGCAGCATCAAAACAGCAAACTGTATGAATTTTAAAAAGTATTAAAAAAAAAAAAAGAAGAAGAAGAAGGGTGGCCGGGAGCAGTGGCTTAAACTACAGTAGTGATCCCAGCACTTTGGGAGACTGAGGTAGGCAGATCACCTGAGGTCAGGAGTTCAAGACTAGCCTGGCCAACATGCAAAACGTGTCTCTACTGAAAACACAAAAAATAGGAGAACGTGGTGGTGCACACCTATAATTTCAGCTGCTCGGGAGGCTGAGGCAGGAGAATCGCTTGAACCCGGGAGGTAGAGGTTGCAGTGAGCTGAGATTGAGCCACTACACTCCAGCCTGGGCAACAGAGCGAGACTGTCTCAGAAAAAAAGAAAGAAAAAGGATGACGCTTTCTTGTGAGAACGTTAGACTTAAAAGTGGAAAAAGAAACTGAAGAGTGAATAAAAGCATAAATTAGTCCAGTGATACAAAATTTTCTTAAGAGCAATGAACATCAAAGTGGGAACTCTGAGGATAAAAGATGATGATCCTGGGAAGAAATATTGGTTACATTTTTGGAAATGTCTGAATAGGAATTCAGATATTAAGATGTAGAAAAGAAAATCTGAGTAGCTGAAATTCGATGCATGGACAAGGACAAACACTGCAAAAGACCAGCTAATCATATTGTGAGAGCCATAGTGATCAAGGGCACATCTTGTAATGAACCTATCCCGGAGTTATGGAAACGACCGCCAGCTGTTCCTGACTGAAGACTACTTGAGGCACGATGACCCAGAAAGTCCATATGGTTCCAAAGGCAAAAGCTTAATTAGATATATCACTTTTAACTGCATAAATCCACACTCCCAGAAGAAAGGAGGTTAACTGTAAGGTATATGTCAGGAGGGTGACTTTCAAACATTGCAACAGCTCCAGAGGCTGAAACATGCTACTATTTAACTGTGGCTGTGTTTGGATGGCAGACTTTCAGGGGATGGTTATTTGTGTCACTCTTTCACTGCTGGTTGCATAAAACTTGTATAATGAAAAATATTTTGAGGCCAGCTGAGGTGGCTCACACCTGTAATCCCAACACTTTGGGAGGCTAAGGTGGGAAGATTGCTTGAGCCCAGGAGTTTGAGACCAGCCAGCCTGGGCAACATAGTAAGACCCATCTCTACAAGAAATAATTTAAAAATTAGCTAGGCATGGGGGCACATGCCTGTATTCCCAGCCACCTGGGAGACTGAAGTGAGAGGATCACTTTTGCCCAGGAGGTCAAGGCTGCAGTAAGCCGTGATTGCACCACTGCACTCCAGCCTGGGTGACAGAGTTATACCTTGTCTCAAAAAAAAAAAAATTGTATATATGTGAAAATATGTACTAGTAGAGATACAAGGAATGAAAGTATTCTGGCTCTCTTTATGCTTCTGTGAACTACTCTAAAGATCAATTCATAGTCCCATCCTATGTTATAAAATAGTCAAGGCATTGAAGAGATTTTTGTTTTTAACTGCTGTGTAAACCTGGAAACAGGCCTCAACGTAGCTATGCAATCTAAAAGTTCCATCTGAATATTAGCAAAGGAGTTTTTCTATCTTACTTTATTTAAAAGGAAATGAGACCACACAAAATTAGTGTAGGTGTTACGCGGAACTCTCTTTATGTACTTCCTGTCATTGCTGGGTTCTTACTGATAGAAGCTTTGTCCTTTCATTGAGGTGTGACTTGAAGCTGTAGTGTGGAGTGATTGGGTCTAACATGGCAAGACTGGTGACAGTGGGGACAGGGGCCCCTTATGGGGTATAATTAAGCTTCCTGGTTTTTCTTTTTTTTTTAATTGTACTTTCATTTCTGGGGTACATGTGCAGATCTTACAGGATTGTTGCATAGGTATACACATGCCGTGGTGATTTGCTGTCTCCATCTCCCCCCCACCCCCCCCCAATCACCTACATCAGGCATTTCTCCTAATGTTATCCCTCTCCACCCACCCCCCCCATCACTTACATCAGGCATTTCTCCTAATGTTATCCCTCCCCACCCCACCCCCTCCTGTCCCTCCCCTAACCCCCCACCCCCCACTGCTCTGCTGCTACTACTACAGTAAGAAGCCCTCTAGGAAGATTAGGAATCCTCTACCAGGTGTGTGTCTCTGTTGATACACTCATTTCTCCCTTGTCAATTTGTTTGAACAAAGAGCTTGCAATACATCTTTATCCTCCATGCATTTTACATTCACGTCATAACAATAGGTGATCTATTAATTTATGTCAAGATACCACAATTGAGGTACAATTGATCACTGACTTTCATTCGGAGACCCCTATTCTATGTATTTTCTAGCATTTGGGTCTTGAAGATTATGTTAGTGCAGAGTGCAGCGTCAGGAGGGTAGAAGGGAAGAGGAGGAAGGAAGACTTTTTTTCTTTTTTTTGAGATGGGGTCTCACTGTGTTGCCCAGGCTGGTCTCAAACTCCTGGGCTCAAGCAGTCCTCCCACTTTGGCCTCCCAGAGTGCTAGGGTTATGGTTTTGAGTCACTGCATCCAGCCATGGTTCTTAAGTATTCTTAGGAACACTTTTTTTTTCATTTTTACATGTACAAAATATTCTCCCACCACACACAAGCAAATGCAGTTTAGACTACAGTGATAGAATTTTATGTTGAGAAAGCAAAGTGTATATTTCTTCCCAAGTAAACTTTAAAAATGTAATTTCATTAGTACAAGAAATTAATAACATTAGTGTCTTCTTCAGCCTCACCTCATCTGCAAGCAGGGTTGGGATTCAATTATTCTGTGAATTTTAACTCCAACTAATAAATTAACCCAGCTTTGAAATTTCTTTGTAAGTATGGTTATAACAATTCACACTGCTGTTTATGCCAGTGGCTTTATTTCAAATGGTAGTTTCTCAGTTGGAGAAGCAGTTCGAAGTCATTTTGAGCTCCGTTAAACTCATTGCTTTATAGAGCTGTGATTACCTTCATGTCCTAATTAAATGGCCACGTCTCTCTCTCATCTTGTTTGGGAAGTCACAGCAATAAAGAACTGTGCTATATTATGACTGATGAGCATTATTTGATTTTTGCTATGCAGTATTGCATAGGATATTTGCTACCTGTGAATTGCCTTGTAGCATAGGACACACTTTCTGGAGCAGGTAATGGAAAGGGATTATTAAAGGAAACGATCACATGCTTTGTTTTTGAGAGAAGGTTTTATCTGAAACAGACACAGACACACATACCACGAGCCCGGTTACTATAGAACCGAAGAGACCTTTCCAGCTGTTTACACTTCGGATGTAAAATGGCAATTTGACATAGACTAACAGTGTGATGTGAGCATCTGCGTAAAAAGGCGACATATGGAGCATGCCCAGTGTGGGAGTGCGTCCTCCTCCCTCCTCCTCCCCCTCCCCCCGAGATCTCCAAAGATAAGGCTTGAACTTTGCACTTGCAAATGTCACTGCATACGTTTTTGCACTAGTTTTTTTTTTTTTTTTTTTTTTTTTCTGTGATTCTTTTACAACTAATTTCCTTTAACAATTTGAGCGCAGGGAAGAGAATGTTTAGGATTATGAGATGCATTAAGTTTAGAACGAGTTGATGCCCGGCTTTGAATGCACTTGAAGTGTTCTTTATTTTTAAGGCAATATAAAGCATTGGAGTGTGTGTTTTCAGCCCCTCCTGGAATGGGAAAATAAGAATCTCCCTGGATGGGAGTCCTCTGGGGCAGGGAGTGAAAGCCCCAGAGGCAGAAAGGGACGGAGAAGAGGGGCTTGCCCAGAGCATGGATAGGAAAGGAGCTGGGGTTCTCCGGGGCTCAGCGCGCACTGAGAACCTGTGCCCGGGGCTGCAGCTGCGGACGATAAAGGCGCTGTCTGGCTCATGAAGGCCACCTGGATCAGGCTTCTGAAAAGAGCCAAGGGAGGAAGGCTGAAGAATTCTGATATCTGTGTAAGCGCAGGGGCTTTCTTTTGGGGGAGAGGTTGTTTTGTCTCTGCTTTTCTGTGGTTGCAGTGAGTGCAGGTAGAGAGGGTGGTTTGATTTGGTTAATCGGATCATGATTGCAAGAGAGGAAGCTAGGGAGGTTGCTCTCGTTTCTTTGAGCTCCATTCCCTGCGTTGTGATTAATTGCCAGATGAGCTTTCCCAGGCAGGTGTATTCTGTAGACGGCTTTGATTACATCTAGGTAAAGGTATTTTAAAATGTGTTGCTGGAACCTGGAGCAAAGTTAGCTGCTGGTGTCTTACAGTTTTGTCAGAGAAAATAGCAGGTGTATAAAAAGGTAAACAAGGGTTCTTCAGATTCAGGTAGGAGTCAGATAATGGTAGTGACATTTTGGAGAGTTCAAGTTTATAACTTAGACTTTCTTTTATGTTTTTGTTAGGCTGAATGTCTTCCTAGTTGTAAATACCTGCTGTAGCATGTAGATTGCTCTTAGAGCTATCCTTGAACCCCATCATTGCCCTTCAGTTCTGCACTGCACCATCAAGCTGGTTTAATTCTAAAAGCAACTTGTTCTGGCTTCCAGGAAGGATAGTTTTTTTGGAACATAAAGCTCAGGAAGGAAAGGCAACTCAGTAGACACAACTATTCTGTTGATTGTCTGCAAACCAGAGCATGATTTTCTAGATAGGATGCTGCAAAATGAATTATTTTCTCCTCTTTTCAGGATCGCATAGCACAATCCGGGAAGGTAACTCCTGTGTCGATGAGACTTTTCCAGTGCCAACATCATAGACTGAATCGCCTTTGAAATGTACATTTTCCTCTGCAGGGTTCGGCAGACTCCTACACTAGCCGTCCATCCGATTCCGATGTGTCTCTGGAGGAGGACCGGGAGGCAGTGCGCAGAGAAGCAGAGCGGCAGGCCCAGGCACAGTTGGAAAAGGCAAAGGTAAAATCATATCCTCTCTGCCAAGACCTTTCTTTGCAAGTTGTACTGTGCCCTGGATAGACCACCTGTGGAAGTTTCTCCTAAGGCTTGTTTGGTCTATTAGAGCATTTCATTGTCTGGTTTTAGAAAGATACAGGAAATGGAGCATAATTTCTTCCCTTGGTAGAAAAAGGAAGTGAGGTGTGTAAGCGTGGTCTTCTATGTTGTTTTATCATCCAAGCAACTCGTTTATGTGGGTAGATGGCTTATTTGGACACATACAAAAGGACCCCTGAATGTACAAAGAGGAAAAACTGCACCTGGTGTCAACACATGTTACTTCATTTCCTCATTAAACCATATCTCTGCTAAGAAAAAAAATTGGCTTCAAGCTAATGTTTATTTTCTTAGACTTGAACAGCTTTTCCCCTGAATTGTACTTCACAGGTGTTTTATATTAGTATTCTCTTGGTTTAAAAATGGATTACATTATGCTTTTCAAAAAGCAACAGAGGATTTTATTGATTTTTTTATAAGTTTCTTCTCTTAGAACATGTTCTTCTCTGTCCCATCTTAATAAAATGTGTATATATAGAGAGGAGACTGCATAACAGCTATGAAATAGATAGTTACAGGATTTATCTCAGGCTGTGCTTCATTTCACTAATTGCAACGATCTGAATTCTTTTTCCCCTGCTGTCATTTGAATAGTGGCTGTTTCTAAAGCACAGATCATTCAAGTTGAAGGTAGCTTGGTTTGTGGGATACTCAGTCGCCTCCCAATGAACCTATTTTAACGTGGTTGTTGATTTTCCTTTGAAAAACTTGTTTTGCAAAACGGTAAGTGCCTTGTTGATCATGCTAGAAATACCAGGATAGCATTTCTGCTGGCTGCTTCATCTCAGAGATGAGTATAATCTTTGTGTGTTGCTATGGGAATTGTGGCGAGGAGATTCTGGTTTGAATGCATGGACGTCCCTTATGTAATACATTATTCATGACCTCTATCGCGGCTGCCATAGTAGTCTACTGAGGAACTGCCAGGAGACCTTGACTTCTAAAAAGCACTGCTTTATGTATCACAATGATGTTCTTACCTCAACTGGCAGGGAAATTTTCTCCAAGACTCACAGTCTTCTCTGAGAGGCAGTTCATAAATAGCAGATACAGGGAGGGTTTTGTGATGGTGGAACCAGATGAAACTAGACATGGCCCACTTGCCATCAGCTAACCTGCTGTACCAATGTTAGCCACTTAAAACATTGTGAAGTTGCAATGAAATAAGGAAAAACATTAAATAATGAATGTATGTCTAGTAAAGTTAGTCGCTACCAGTCGGCACTGTAGTTAATATAGGTTGCAGCTGAGAATCTGAATTCTATATTCTGTATTTCGCATTGTGTATAAAGTACAAAAAAACTACAATTTGTATTCCAAAAATAAGATTGTTCTATTTGTAGCTAATTTATTCATGTAAGTTTCATATACCAAAATTGAACAGTTTCTTGGGCTCATATCCGGTCCTGGTACAGTCCAATATATTGTGGGTTTGGTTTTCAATTGTTGTCTCATTGGGACATTTTTGTTCATGACTGCGTGCTATGTCATGAGTTAAATGACATTGCTGTAAAAAACTTTGAAAAGGTCTTTTAACCCAGCATGGATCAAAACATTGCTCCTAAATCAAACCAGGGTCATGCTACTTGTCCTACAGCCTAAAAAGTTGGTAGTTACAAATGATGTCGAGGACAAGAGAAAGAGACTTTAAAAGGCAAAATAATTGAAAAACTATTTCGTATGTTTACTGAAAGATAGTTTATTTAACGGGGGAGATGGAAATGGTTAATAGGTACCAAGAAAATAGAAAGAATAAAACCTATTTGATAGGACACCAGGGTGACTATAATCAATAACTTAATTGTATATTTTTAATAACTTAAAGAATGTAATTGGACTATTTGTAACTCACAGGATAAAGCTTGAGAGGATGGATACCCCATTCTCTATGACGTGCTTATTTCTTATTGCATGCCTGTATCAAATCATCTCATATGTACCCACAAAAAATTTTCAAAAATAGTTTATATTCTTTTCTTTAAAATTAGGTCAATATTTTAAACCTTTGACGTATTCAAATGAGATACTCTTGGCTAAGTGAGAATTTGATTATGTCTTAAAAGAAGATAGATGAGTATTGAATTTTCCTTTATATTAAAATCATGGTTTCATTTGTTAATCCCAATATCCTTGAAGAAATCATGCAAAACAGGGATTATAGAGGGCTAGTTCCCTGTATGCATTTTTACTTTTCTCTATAAAAATAACCAAATTCATTGTCAGGATGTTATCATGCCTTTATGAAACCTATTTCAAAATGAACCCTTGAAGTTGAAAAACATAACAATTCATCATGTTTAACTTTTCACAGCCATTTTAGAAGAATCGGACATTTTCTACATTTACTTTGTAGCCATCATAGCATCCCTCAAACAGAAAGACTTTACAAGTCAGTGCTTTTACTCACCTTCCAGATCACATGTAATAAATAAGTCTGTGCAAATGATCTTAGCAGTGCTTTTAGATCCTGGTCCTGTATAAATACAAACACGTTATCCACTAATCGCCTTAATAATAGCTCTATGAAATAATGTGATTAGCAAGAAGTGAGTCTAGAGATACTGCCTTTTAAAATCCAAGTGACCTACAAAAGGTTGTATAACAGGGTACTCTGTGCTGTCAATAAACCTAATATTCTCCAGTATCTATTTGTTAACGCTTCTCTTAATGACTAAACTCTGCAGTGAACAGATTCTGTGTTCATTTTGAGGCCAGTAAATACCAACTGACTGACTGTTTTTTAACTTGCTGTTTTCTGGTTCCAAATGTGTGTTTTGGGATTGTGCAATTGTGGCATACTTTGCAAATCCCGGTCATTTCCATTCGTGCTGTCTGATATTATCTTAATGACAAGTAATAAATGAATCTAATTTATTCCCATGTAGATCTTCTCTTTGAAAACAACTTTACTGAGATATAATTCACCCACTGAAAGTGTGTAATTCAGTGGTTTTTAGTTCGTTTAGAGGTGTACATCCATCACTATAATCAGTTTCATTCTCATTGCCCCATAAAGAAATTCCAAGCCTGTTAGCAGTAACTCTCAGTCTCCCCAACCACTCCCCTGTCCCCAGGCCTAGGGAACCACTGTTCAACTTTTATTTCTACAGATTTGTCTGTTCTGGATATTTTATAGAAATTGAATCATACGATAGGCTGGCTTTTGTGATTCACTACTTTTGGACATTTGGGTTGTTTCCACCATTGAGGTATTGTGCATGATGCTGGTATGAACATTCCTATACAGGTTTTTGTGTGGGCGTATATTTTCATTTCACATCTGTATGTATTTTGGAGTGAAAATGCTGGCTCATATGATCATCTCTCTTTGATTGAAATAATTTTCTTCTTTTGTCCTTTGATCCTCAAAAATGATGCCTTCTGCCCTATATGCAGAGACTCTGAGTTGGGAAATCTGGATGTAGAAGGAATTGAAGCAGAGATAAGACAGACTTGGTTGGGCCTGGTGGCTCACGCCTATAATTCCAGCACTTTGGGAGGCCAGGGCCGGTGGATCACCTGAGGTCAGGAGTTCGAGACCAGCTTGGGCAATATGGTGAAACCCCATATCTACTAAAAATATCAAAGTTATCCTGGTATGATGGACATGCCTGTAATCCCAACTACTTGGGAGGCTGAGGCAGGAGTATTGCTTGACCCTGGGAGGCAGAGGTTGCAGTGAGCTGAGATCTCTTGCTCTTACCTAGGCAACAGAGCAAGAGTCTGTATCAAGAAAAAAAAAAAAAAAAAAAAAAAAAAAAAAAAGATGGACTCAATGTGATCTTCTTAGCGGAATAGAATAACATTCAATCTGGAGTCCATTGTTCTTTTATCATTGAGTATCTCCTATGTTAAAGAAAATGTATTTGGCTCAGTTGGCGGGTGGGAGAGACTGCAAGGCCAAAGCCACAAGGAAGAAATGGACAGGTCTCTTGCCTGCAAGAAGCTTCCACTCTTTGTTTCAGGTAATAAAAGGTGGATACCTTGTGGGGAAAGGAGGGATAGAGAGGTCTGTGAGCACCTGCGATTAGACTGCATCCTACTGGCAGAAACAGAAAATCCTTCTTGGAGGAGGTAGTGGCTTAAAAGTAGACCTTACAACAGGAGTTCATGGCCTTTTAGGAATGGGGCTGCAGAGCAAGGGAGGAACAGCAGTGCCAGATAGGAACAATCATCTGTATTTACAGCCACACCCACTGCTCACGTGACCACCTGAGCTCCGCCTCCTGTCAGATCAGTAGCAGCGTTAGATTCTCACAGGAGCGCCAACGCTTTTGTGAACTGCGCGTGCGAGGGATCGAGGTTGTACACTCCTTAAGAGGGTCTAATGCCTTATGATCTGTCACTGTTTCCCATCACCCCCAAATGGGACCATCTAGTTGCAGGAAAACAAGTTCAGAGCTCCCACTGATTCTACGTGATTGATGGTAAGTTGCATAATTGTTTCATTATATATTACCATGTAATAATAACAGAAATGAAGTGCACAATAAATGTAATGTGCTTGAATCACCCCGAAAACATTCCCCGGACCCCAGTCTGCGGAAAAATTTCTTCCCTGGTGCCACAAAAGTTGGGGTCTGCTGCCTTACAGGACAGACGGATGAGGTTTAGCTCTTGAAGTACGAAGTGGGAAGTAAAGAAGTGAGAATGCCTCCCAGGCTCTGGAACAGAATGTGTATAATGGTCAGTGTAAGTAAAGGCTCCCCAGCAAGAAAACATAGAATGTTCCAGAGAAAGCTTAGTTTGTTAAGATCTTGCCAGCTTGAAAGTGTCTTTATTCTACCTTCACATTTAATTAACAGTTTGGCTACGTATAGTATTCAAGAATGAAAAACGTTTTTCTTCAGATTTGTGAAGGTCTTATTTCATGGTCTTCTAAAGTCCAGCCCTGCCATTCTGTT